TCCTGGTTTTATTGATATTTTGTATTGTTCTTTCTGTTTCTATTTGGTTGATTTCAGCCCTGAGTTTGATTATTTCCTGCCTTCTACTCCTCCTGGGTGTATTTGCTTCTTTTTGTTCTAGAGCTTTTAGTTGTGCAGTCAACTTGTTAGTGTGTGCTCTTTCCAGTTTCTTTTTGTAGGCACTTAGAGCTATGAGCTTTCCTCTTAGCACTGCCTTCATGGAGTCCCACAAGTTTTGGTATGATGTGTCCTCATTTTCATTGAATTCTAAAAAGTCTTTTATTTCTTTCTTTATTTCTTCCTTGACCAAGTCATCATTGAGTAGAGAGTTGTTCAGTTTCCATGTGTACGTGGGTTTTCCATTGTTTTTGTCATTATTAAAGACCAGTCTTAGTCCGTGGTGATCTGATAAGATGCAAGGGATTATTTCAATCTTTTTGTATCTGTAGAGGCTTGTTTTGTGACCAATTATATGGTCTATTTTGGAGAAGGTACCATGAGGTGCTGAGAAAAAGGTATATTCTTTTGTTTTAGGATGAAATGTTCTGTAGATGTCTGTTAAGTCCATTTGGTTAATAACTTCTGTTAATTTCAAAGTGTCTCTGTTTAGTTTCTGTTTCCATGATCTGTCCATTGCTGACAGTGGGGTGTTGAAATCCCCCACTATTATTGTGTGAGGTGTAATGTGTGTTTTGAGCTTTAGTAAAGTTTCTTTTATGTATGTAGGTGCCCTTGCATTTGGAGCATAGATGTTCAGAATTGAGAGTTCACCTTGGTAGATTTTTCCTTTGATGAGTATGAAGTGTCCTTCCTTATCTTTTTTGATTAATTTTGGATGAAAGTCGATTTTATTTGATATTAGAATGGCTACTCCAGCTTGTTTCTTGGGACCATTGGCTTGAAAAATTGTTTTCCACCCTTTTATTCTGAGGTAGTGTCTGTCTTTGTCACTGAGGTGCGTTTCTTGTATGCAGCAAAATTCTGGGTCTTGTTTGTGTATCCAGTCTGATAGTCTGCGTCTTTTTATTGGGGAATTGAGACCATTGATGTTAAGAGATATTAAGGAAAAATGATTGTTGCTTCCTGTTATTTTTTTTATTAGAGGTAAAGTTATGTTTGTATCTT